CTGTGTCCGTGTCCGTGGGTGGCCGGCCACAGAGAAGGGCTGCTTGGACCCCTGGAATGGGACGTCCATGCCCCGACCCAGCACACGCAAGCGAGCAAGCAACACCTTTTGTTCCGTGGCTTCTTGTGGACCCGGCCCTGCTGGTGGCACCCAGACCCTGAGAGAAGAGCGGGGAGTGCGCACGAGGTTCTGCTCCGCTTGCGCCGAGCCGTGCGTGAATTGGCATCCTCTCCCCCCCCCCCCCACGGGCCCACGGAGCAGCTGCTCTCCTCTGCACCTGCGCTCAGCCAGGCCTGGTGCCCGCCCGGGCCCTTTCCTCCCGCTTGGCTGTGCAGGAGGAATCTCTGCCTGCCTGCAAATTCACCAGCGTGCCTGCGAGGGCGAAGAGCCGCAGGCAGGGAGGAGCACAGGTCATGCCGTGTCGGAACGTCCCGGCGTGTCAATGGCACACGGGCTTCCTTGGCTCCCCGCTCCCGAGGGCAAACCTGCCACGATGGCTGGGGCCAGACCGGTCCCGCTTTGGATGTGGACCAGTGCACCAAAAGTGTAAGCCAGCCAGTCAGTCATTCGATCCTGCCAGCCTCACATTCCTGCAGCCTCCTGGGCTGCGTCTCCCCACACGCTCACGCAAGCCCCTTACCGTGTCATCCTCGCGTTGCTGAAAAAACGAGGCTTTGCCGGGATCTACAGCACGTCTCCCGCACCTTTTGCCCATGGAGGTGACAAACTGCCAACAGGTTCCTTCTTCCTGGGGACATATTAATGAGCTCTTTCAACGTGGCCAAGATGATTTATCCCTCTATGAGTCCCTCAAATGCTGTCACAGAGAGGAAGGCCAAGATCTCTTCTCACTGATGCCAGAGTGCGGGACACGGAAGAATCAAGTCAAGCTGCAACAGCCCAGATTCAGGCTGGACATCAGGAAAGCTTTCTCACTGCCAGAGCAATGAGACACTGGAACCAGCCGCCTGGAGAGGTGGGGGGCTCCCCCACACTGGGGACATTCGGAAAGGAACTGGGCAGCCCTCTGGGTGGGATGCTGTGACTTGCTGTCCTCCAACGGCCGAGGTTGGCCCCAGTGGCCTTCACGGCCCCTTCCACCTCCACTGCTCTATGCTTTACGAGGGCCCAGAGGAGATCCCTAGACAAGACTCTGTGCACAGGCGGGCTCTACGGCAAGTGTGTGTCACAGGTGGGGGCGAGGCTGCTGCAGCCCCCGTGCGCTGCCCTGGAGGGGGGGTGAGGCTGCTCACGCCCGAAGGGGACCGCATGCCCTGCGCTGCAGCATGAGTCACAGACAGGCCAGCAGAGTCCGGCTTACGCTCAGCCCGATCTATGGAGAAGCTGCGGCCACGTTGCTTTGAAGCAGGTTCGGGCTGTTCTCCCAAAGAGCACCAAAAGCCCCTGGCTGGGCTCTGGGATCGGAATGAGAGCCGCTCGATGCCACCAAGCAATCTGGCGTCCCGCAGGGATGTGCTGCTCCTAGAACACCCACAAGGGACGCACAAGGATGCTCTGATTCCAGCCACATGGAGGAGTCGACCCACCCACCCCAAGGTGAGGAAGGACGATCCTCCGACGCCCAGGACTAGGTGCCGCCATCAACTCTGCGTGAAAATGCCCCTTCCATAAGAGACGAGAGAGGGGATCCCCCGGAGCAGGGCCTCTGCTCGGCGTCGGCCTGGACGCCTGTCCGGGGCACTTCCAAGCCGGCCTTGCAACGGCAGGCGCTGCACCGCCAAAGCAGAGAGTGAGGGCTGGCTCGGAGGGAGCCACTGGGCTTGGGAGCCGCAGCCCGTCCCAAGCTCTTCCCGCCAACCCGAATGTGTGACGTGAGCGCAGCCGCCCCCCGGCCCCCTCCGCCCTGCAGCCGACTGCCGGTCGAGTCAAGACCTGCGGCCAAGCCGCAGTCCCACCTGGTCCGCCGGAGCAAGCGAGGCGCCCGACATTCTCGTCACCCCCGCCAGAAACAGGGGGCAGCTCTCCCCGCCCCGGCCTGGCAGGGGCCAAAGCAGGAACCAGGCCAAGCCCTCGGCAGGGCGCCCTCCACCAAGCCTGGGCCAGTGCTGCTGCAGTGCTGGCCGGCGGCCACCCCCCTCTGCCCGCACGGGTCGCCAGGGAGGGCCGGGCCAAGGCCACGGGGAGGGCAGGGCAGGGCCCGCCCTGCCAGCTGCTCCAGGAAAAAGCCTTAATCCCATGTAATTGCGGCTAATTTGGGCGAGGCGTCCTTCGCAGCTCGGCACCCACGCCCGGCCTGCCCGGGCTTGGAAAGAGGAGCGCGGGCAGGTGGGCAGGGGAAGGCCGGGCCAGCGGGAGACCTGCCAGCAACGGCTCGGGCAAAAGCGGGCGGGCTGGGCAAGGGCCCAAACCAGCCGTGCCACTGCAGGCACGGGCGCTGAGCTAAGATTTATTTGATAACTGCATTTTCTTGGAGGTGCTTGCAGACTGGTTTTTTAAATATTTTCCCCCAGAATTTTTCCAGGACTGATGTCAGACCAACCGGCCTGCAGATCCCTGGTTTCTCTTTTTTTCTCCTTTTTTGAAGATGGGGACGACGTTAGCCCTCCACCAGTCGTTCGGCACTTCTCCTGTTTTCCAGGATTGATCAAAGAGAACAGCCTGTGGTTCTGAGAGCTCCTCCATTAGCGCTTTCATGGCTCTGGGATGGAGCTCATCAGTCCCTGGAGAGTCGAAACTGCTTATTCCACCCAGGCATCCCTTGACCATCTGCCTGTCGATCCTGGGCTGCCGTCTCGCACTTTCAGCTTGTGCTTCCTCTTGGTAGAAGATTCTCCTGTGGGAGAAGACTGAGGCGAAGTGGGAATTGAGCGCCTCTGCCATCCACCTTTATTTGGACACCTTTCCCTGTCACATGCCTTTTGTTTTGCACATATCTGAAGAAGTCTTTCTTCTTGGCATCTCTTGCTAGTCTCAGTTCATTTGCTTTAGCCCTGCTGACAGCATCCCTGCAATGCCTTGCTATTTGTTTATATTCTTCTTTTCTGGCCTGGCCCCGTTTCCACCTCTTGTACATGTTCTTCTGTCTGTCTGGCTGTCTGTCTGTCTTTCTGGCTGTCACATACCTTTCCATGGAGTCACATGGGCACCCTCTGCTGCCTTCCACTCTTTTTTCTTGATAGAATTGTTTGTAGTGTTGCTTGAAGAACCTTCTTTTTCAAGATTTCCTACCCCCTTGGACTCCTTTTCCCTTAAGAGAGAGTTGCCATGGCACTTGGCTTAATCATTGTTCTGAGTTTGCTAAAGTTGGTTTTCTTGAAGTCAGGGATACGTGTTTGGCTGCAGTTAACCTTCGTCTCCTGTATAATTGGGAATTCAAGCATCACACGGTCACTTTCCCACAGGGTTCCCATGGCCACTATTTTGTCCCCCGGGGCATTCCTGCCAGTTATATTACATCAAGGATGGCTGTGCCTCTCGTTCCGTTCTCTACCTTCTGCTGGAGGACGCCGTCAGCAGAGCGTGCCAGGACTCTCCTGGAGGGGCCGTGCTTGGAAGAATTTGTCTCCCAATGCCTTTCAGGGAAGTTGACGTCCCCCATGATAACGACATCACTGGACTGCTGGCAAGCTGCTTTTCCTCTCTGTGACTGAGTAGTTGGTAACAGATGCTAATAATTATGTTTTTCTTCTTTTTTGCTCCATTTAAGTTAAGCCAGATGATTTCAGTGGGGCTACCAAGTTCCTCTTCTTGTATTTCTGTGCAGGCATGTGTGTCCCTCACATATAGTGCGACTCCACCTCCCTTTTTGTCCTTTCTGTTTTTCATGAACAGGCTGTATCCATCAGCTGCAGACTTCCAGCCATGTGAGTTGTCTCATCAAGTTTCAGGTATTCCTGTAAGATCGCAATTGCCCTTGAGCACAAGTTGATGCTGTCCGTTTCCCGTACTCGGGGCACTGGCGTAGAGACATCCAAGTTCTTTTTGCTCTGCCCTGCTTTTCTTCCTGTGTTTTGGGGAGACTGATGGTAGGCCCTGCTTGAGGTTTTTTCTTCAGAGATGCAGAGGCCCCTGCCAGCGATGGGGTGCCAGGCTGCAGGCCCCCCTCCCCTGCAGGATCCACTTCAAAGCCCCCCTGGGGAACTGAAAGGGGCTTTCCGTTCTTTGCGAAGGGCAGCCCATGGTTCGCCAGTCTCCTTCTCCCAGGAAGCTTAGCGTGTGGTCCCAGGACACCCGTCCCTCTTTACGGCGCTGCCATCGTGGCCAGTCGTTCACCTGCAGGACTTTTCTCGCCTGAGCAGTTCTTCGTCCACGTGCCGGTAGGACTGAGGAGACATTCACGCGGGAGGGCAGGACACGCAAACTGTACCCTAGACTGGCTGCCCCACAGCCTTGGAAAGGGGCACCGGGGGGCCAGCATGTCATTTCCCTTTCCTGAAACATCCTAATACGGGGCTCCCCTTTTATAGCACTGAGGCCGTGGGCCAGCATCTTTCCTCGGCCGCCAAGCAAAACCCCGAGATCAAAGTCACGGCTGATTGTTTGTTTATTTTAAAAGATTCTCTGCTGCTCCTTCAGTGCCAGAAGCAATCGTGAGGTGAATTTTAAAGTGGTGGTACAGCTGTAAGAATCAAGCAAAGGCACGCACCACATGAGACCCGCAATGAAAAAACACCTACAGCCAGCTTAAGGTCGATCACAAAATGCCTGAGCAAAGCAGAACGTCTGAACCTGCTGCCAGGGGATGGGAGTCCTGGCCCTGTGGCAGGAGAGCCCCGCGTGGGGGCCTTTCTGTGCATGCACCATGCGCTTCCCGCCAGTGACACGCAGGGATGGCCCACAGACGGGGCTGCTGTGGTGCAGCTGGGCTTGTGACTGCAAGGGCCGCAGCAGGCGGGCTGGTGGGCAGTTGGCAGGGTGCCCCGGCCCCCCCCCAGCCCTCCCCCCCATGCACAGACCTGCCCCTGGGGCTTCAGGGCAGCACAGGCGACCACGGCATACTTGAGTTTCTGATTTTAGAGGCAGCAACAGTGGAGCGTGGCCATTTGGGAAAAGCTGATTTTAATCATTCAGGACAATGAAAGTCCCAGAGCAAGTGATCCTAAAGACACAAGGAGTCCAAGATGGACAGAAGTTTTTTAGAAAGGAATTTTTAAAGGCACAAGTACAAACAATTCCAACAAAAGCAAAGATAGCAAGTGACTGAAGAAACCAATGTGGCTCTAGAAAAATCTTTGAGTTGCGGTCTGTAAAGGCAAAAGAGGAGGGGTCCAGGAAGGGAAGGGAGGCCGAGTAACAAAGGAAGGGCACAGCAGGCGGCAGAGACATGCAGGAATGACCTCAGGGAGGCTGAGGCAGAGGGTGAGCGCAGGCTAGCGAGGAGGGATGTGAAAAACAACCCCAAAGCTTTTTCAGGCATGTCCACAGTAAAGAGGAGGGGGAATCGAACAAAGAAATTATCCCAAAAGCAGGCTGTGACACCCCTGACAAAAATGAAGTGCAAATTGAAGATTTCGGATTGGAGCTTGAGATTAATAAAAGTCAAGGAACAACTGATTTCTTCGAATGATTTCAAATCTCCAAGGCCTGGTAAGGGGCATCCTGAACGCGCTGGGGGAAGAACTCACAGAACCGCGGCCCATCATCTCTGGACGCACCTTGGAGACAACGCAGGGGTTACTAGAAGCCAGCAAGGCTTTTTCAAGGCTTTTTTGCAGTGTGTTCCAGTATCGACAGACTAATCTGATCACCTGCTTTATGAATTATGGAAGCGCTCTGAACATCACTGATCCGCACTTCAGCAAGTGTGCCATGCCACCCTGATCAGCAAAACTAGGCGTGATGGAACGGCTATCGGGGGATGCATGGCTGGCAACAGGATCGGACCCGGGGGGTGCTGGGAAGAGGTGATGAGGGGCACCGCAGGGCCCAGTCCGGGGCCCAGGCCTCTTCAGGGTTTCATAAATGACTTGGATGAAGAGGTGCAGGAAACGCGGATCAAATGTGCAGATGACACAAAACTGGGTGGGGGAGCTAATACCCTGGAAGACAGAAGATTCAGAGTGACCTTGATAGGCTGAGCACTAGGCTGGAAGCAACGGAATGAAATGAAATGAAATTGGGACAAATGTCACATTCCACCCCTAGGGAAAGGGAAGCAAATGCACAGATACAAGATGGCTCAGCAGTACTGCAAATGAGGAGGCTCTTGGAATTCTTGTAAATGACAAGCTGATCATGGGCAGCAACATGATGCAGCTGCCACAGGGGCCGCCGTTGTTTCTCCTGTGCTGCCTGAGCAGCCGCGCGAAGGGCTGGCGCGCTCCGTTCAGCACTGGCCGGGCCAGGCCCACCCTGAGGCCTGCGTCCATTTCTGGATGCCACACCTCAAGGAAGAGGGTCAGAGGGGGCAACGAGAACGACCCAGGGACTGGAAGCAATGCCCTGTGAGGAGAGATGGAGGGAGTGGTAACCTTGAGAAGACTGAGAGGGGATAGGGAAGCCATTTCAAACACTTGAAAGGCTGCCACACAGACGATGGCCAGGATCAGCCCAGAGTTACGGGAAGGCAGGTTCTGGCTCGGCATCGGGGAAAATTTCCTGTTCGGGCAGATTGGGAAGGGAGCCAGTGGCCCGGGGGGGGTGGTCTCTCCCCCACTGGGGGCATTCCAGAGGCAGTGGGACCACCCTCCGTCAGGGATGTTTTAGCCTGCAGTCCTGCACGGAGCAGAGCTGGGCTTCTCGGCCCCTCCCAGTTCCACTATCTGATGATTAGGATAATCTCGGCGTATGTGACTCCTATTTGGGTGCTGGGCAGACTCATGTTTGCGCTGATTCAAAGGAATTCCTGGAAACTGCTTCATCCCGGGAGGGGCGGCAGCTCTGCCCACCCCCCCTGTAGCCTGTGGCTACTTGATGTACAGCCAGTCAGCCAGGGCTGTGGGCAGGTGTGTCATGGCCTGCAGCCGAAGCCACCAGCGGGCCTCCATGGGGTTATAGCGGGCATAGGGCCACCGGGCCAGGAGGGCCTCCGTGACAGCATCGAGGACGGGTGCCACGTCCCCCAGGCCGCTGCTCGCGAACGCCTTCATCTGCCGGAGTTGCCGCTGGAAGTGGGCCTCCCCGTAGTCCACGCGGGCCGCCTCGCTGGCCGTGCGCCACATCTGCTCGGCCTCGGCCTCGATGCCCTCCTGGGTCAGGATCCCCGTGGCAGCGATGTAGTTGCTGGGCTCGACGGCAACCACGGAGACACCCCAGCGGTACATCTCCTGCCGCAGGCAGTCGGTGAAGGCCTCCAGCCCGAACTTGGAGATGCAGTAGGAGGAGCGCGACGGACTGGCCATCCGGCCCAGCATGCTGCTCACGTTGACAACCCGGCCTGGGGAGGGGCACACAGGCAGGTGGGGGCTGATAGTGGCAGCTCTCTGGGCCAGCCCTGCCCTGCCCTGCCCTGCCCTGCCCTGCCCTGCAAGGCCCAGTGCTGCCAGGGCCGGGGACAGGCATGCTCCCACCACCGGCTCTCGGAAGGGGGGCGCTGCTCCGTAGGCGCCTCCTCCACGGACCATGTTCTGGCCATGCCCAGAGGCAAAGGGGCTGATCGTGGTGAATGCGGGGGGGGGGGGCGGGGGTCCAAGGCAGCACCAGGGCTCCCTCTGCTGGCCACGGACCTGCACAGCAGCCCTGGTAGTCGCAGGATTACTGCCCCATCCTACTGCCAGGGCCCTCATGAGCACCACCTGGGAGCTGACGGAAGAGCTTGTCTGAGAACTGGCTCTTCCTCCAGAAGCTGCCTTGGCGGTGAAGGTCCTCTGACCCGCTGGAGTGCTCTTTGTGCTGGACTCTGCTCCCGCTCCCCACACCGCTTCCTGGTCCCAGCCCTCGGTTACCCTGCTCCCCTCAGTTTCCTGACTCCTGCCCTGTTTGGCCATGCTCACCTCTTGGACGGACTCTGCCTCACTCTCCTACCCCTCACACTGACCGCGGGACGCTTGGCTATGATCTGGATCGAACCTGGAGCCTAACCGGGTCGCCTGGTCCTGGCGCCCCTGCCACTTAGTCGGCCGCCCACGCCCCAGAGGCTGGCCCAGGGAGGAAAGGAGCTCTGCCGGCTCAGATGTGCCGCCTCTGCAGCATTTTCTGGGGCTGCGCCTGTTGCAGGGCCTGGGGCAGGAGATCCACAGCAGGTGCACCGAGGCTGGCGGGGCTGTTTCCACCCACACCTGGTGGCCTGTGCAGGTGAGCCCCTGCCCACGGAGCTGGCCGCCTCGCCCGCACCTGCAGCACCTCTGAGCCCTGCTCCACACCAAGAGGACAGAGCCCGGGCAGGGCAGGGCAGGGGCAGCTCAGCCAGACCGTGTCCCACTTGCCCCCCGCCCCACCCCATGGGCAGCCCCTCCTACCTCTGGCTCTGCGGACAAGGGGCAGGAAGGCCTTCGTGACTCGGATGGCTCCCCACAGGTTGACGGCAGCCACCCGCTCGTACTTCTCCAGACTGGTGAACTCCACGTCTCCGAAGGAGGCAACGCCGGCATTGTTCACCACACCCCACAGGCCTGCCCAGACAAAGCAGGAGGAATTGGCGGGCGACCTGCTGCTGCAGGGGCAGAGTCCCCCCCCCCCCCGGGGGCAGGCCTCCTGTGCCCCCCACCTGGTCCAAAGCAGAGGCCAGAGGGTAGGGGTCAAGCTGGCTGGCAGTGGGGCAGTGGCCACCTTCACAGCCGCCCCAGTCACAGACCAAGGGGCACGCTTCCCGGGCCGGGGGATGTGCGGGGGAGCACATGGGCTGGGGTGGGGCCTGGAGAGCCCTGCTCCAGAACAGCCCTGCCAGACTGTATTTTCGGGCTTCTCCCAGGTGGCTTCATTCTGGAGTGCCAAGGATCACGGGGCAGCTTCCACCAGCCGGGCCTTTGCCACCCACAGAGCCTCCAAGGCTTTTACAGAGGCTGGGTCTGTCGGGGACGTCACCTCCTGCCCAGGCTGGACACTCCCTTGCGTAGGGCAAAAGTGCAGCAGCCCAGCACGTCAGGGGGTGGCCTGGGGCACTCCTGCAGGGGTGCTTGGTGGCATGGGGCAGATGCCCGAGGACGGCCCACTCCCCTCCCCACACCGTTCTGCGGCTGGCTGGCTTTCTTGCTCCATCCCCGGGAGGCCCCGGGTTCCTCCTGCACGTGGGTGCTTGGGAGCTGCGGGTCAGTGGCGGCCCGGGGACGGTGGCTCAGCTGGCTTTCTGGCTCCCTCACCCAGCCACAGCGCCTGCCACTGGCTTGCTGGCATGGCCCACGCCAGGCCAGGCCACAAACCCCAGAAGAGGCCAGCCTCTGATGCGCTGTTCCTGTCCCACAGACCTCGATCCACCCAGGGCACCCCGGGGAGGGCCTGAGGGAGATCCGGCAGCCCAGCTGGGAACCCTGTGGGGTGAAGCTGCATGGCTGCAAACGGGGCCACTGGCAGCCCCGGATGACAGGGGGAGGTGCACAGTTGAGAAGACGGGGCGGCTTTGAGCACTGGCACCCCCATGGCAGTGCTGGGAAGCCCCCACCCCTCCTGTGCCTGCAGAAGGGCACCAAGAAGGGACATGCTGAGCCCCTGCATCCTCCACCCCCAGGGGCAGCACAAGACGCGGGCGGGGGAGAAGAGCGTGTGAAGCCTGGTTGGCTGCCCCCTCCTGCCGCAGAACCCCCCCCCCCCCCCCCTGGCCCCAGGGCCAGGTGCTGCTCCCCGCTGGCTCAGCATTGGCTGGGAAGAAGGAAGCACGCCTCTGCCTGGCCTCCTTGAAGGCTGGCCAGTTGGCCAGGGCGTTCCTGCTCCCAGAGGCAAGGTGGGTCCCCACCGGACTGGCCGGTCTGCGGGACTTGTGCCCTCAGAGCAGCTCCGCCTGGGCACAGTAGCACGGGGTGCAGGTGAAACGGTGCCTGGCCGGGGGCTCACCTTGTTCTGGATCAGGGAGGCTATCGCTCACAGCCCTGAGCGCCTGCTCCACCTCTGCCTCACTACGCACATCGAGCTGAAGGACGCGCATGCGCTCCGAAGCCATGTGGCGGAGCTCTCTGGCTCCATCGCCTCCTTGGTCCTGCCCAGCACACACAGAGAGAAAGCCGTGACCCGGGGCCTGCCAGGGGCGCCCCCCCATGCATGCTACAGGCCCCTGCGCAGCTCAGAGGATCTTCTGGCACCAGCTCCCCATGGCCTCCGCATGGAAAGCCACACTCTTGAATCTGCTGCTGGGCTTTTTGGGGACCAGAAGATGAGAACATCGGGACAGAGACAGCTGGATGAGCCACGAGGCTGCTCTCAGCAGGGAGGAGCTCATCTCCTGGCCCTGCCGGCCCCTGGGCACCCCGGAGGCAGCCTCTGCACGCCCTGCAAGCAAGCGGCACGTGCGAGAGCACAGGATCGTGCCCCCTCTGCTCCAAGGGCTCTCCCTGCAGCCCTTCACCGCTGCCCTGCCCGGCACAGCTGTGTCTGCTCGCCTCAGCGCACGGAAATCGTGGGCCAGCTGGAGGAAGCCCCCGGCCTGGGCAACTCTCAGAGACAGCCCGCGGCCGGGCGTTCGCAGTGCTTCCCGATACGGGGAGGGAGCTGTCGCCCTCCTTGCCCTCGCCCTCGCCCTCCCAGCAGTGGCAACACCAGCCTGGCACCTCGCTCTGCTCGCAGGGCAGCCCCCCCGCCTTTCCAGAACCGCTCTGCCTTGCGGTGGGGACACGCCGGCTTTGGCGTTGGGGCCACGCTGCAGCAGGTGAGGAAGCGTGTGTGCGAGCCAGCAGGCGGCATGGCGCCACCGCGTGTCTCCAGCAACAACCCGCTGGCTCTTCTCAGAAAAGGCGCGAGTCGGGAGGGCCCTCCCGGGCCATCTAGTCGGACCTGGCTCCAGCCGCCCCCGCGCCCGACGCGCCTTCTCGAGGCGCCGCCGCGCGGACGCCAGCGGTGCTCGCATGGGCCCGGGCCGCGCTCGGCCGGGTCGGCGCCTCCGTGCTTTGGGGGGCGGCGCAGCGCGGCGGCAAGCGCCCGGTCCCTTGAAGGGCAGCGCGGCAGCCCCCCCGCCGCCCCCAGACGCGGGTGGCGGCTCCCGGGCAGCCTCGGGCTTAACGCGCCAGGGCTTGGGGGCTCCCGGAAGCAGGGCGAGGGCCTGCGATGCGCACAAGGCCCCGGGGCTCGAGGGAAGCCGGCCATGCTGAGAATTCGGGGAACTGCCGAGCCAGGGGCCGGGCCCGGGGCGCTGCGGGCCACACCGGCTCGCCCGCCCGGGGACCCCCTCCCCGCCTCCCTAGCGCAAAGCGGGAAGGGCGGCGGCGGCGCGTCGCCGCGAGCCCGCGCCGGGGCGGGAGCGCGCCCTCAGCCGCGTGGAGACGCTCCGGCCCGGCACAGCTCCGCCCGCTGCGGGGCGTCGGGGGCGCGGCCGGCCGCCTGGCGGTCAAGGTCGGCCTGACCCGGGCGGCCGCGGCGGATGCGTCTCGTGCTGGCCGCGGAGACCTGGCAGTCCTCCCGCTGAAGCTGCCCAGGAGCCGCCGGAGCCCGCCAGCCGCCCTCTGCAGCGCGCGCCGGGGCGGGCAGCTCTGGACGGCCTCCCGCCCCGCGGGAACTCGGGCCTTCCTCGCCGTCCCTCCCTGGGGGCGCAAGTCCCCGACCCTTTTCGTGCGATGCGAGGCGCCCCCAAGAAAGCCGCCCGCGTTTCTCGCCCCCCGCCCGTGGCCTTCCTCGCCACCCCCAGGGCCCGCCGCCCCCCCCCCCCGTGGCCTTCCTCCCCCCCCCCCCCCCCCCGAGCCCGCGGACCCTGAACAGAGCCGGGGCTCGGGGACAAACAAGGGAAGGCGAAACGTCCGGGGAGCTCGCGGGCGGCCCTTCCCGCGCGGCGCCGCTACTCACCGCGAGCAGGCAGCCGGCGAAGACGGCGAAGCCCCGGGCGTGCAGGTGCGTGGCCAGGGCGCGGCCGAACCCCTTGTCGCAGCCCGTGATCAGCACGGCCTTCCCGCCGACCTGGAAGAAGAGCGGCGTCGGGCGCAGGCGGGCGGAGAGGCCGGCGCAGCCCCGGCCGGGAGGGCCTGGCCGTCGACTGACCGGCAGGCCGGCCGTGCTCTCTCTCGCGATGCCCTGCCAGGTGCCCGGGCGTCCGAGGTGAGCGCCCTCCACCGGGGCAAAAGCAGTGGGGCCCACAGGGCTCAGTGCGGGGACCAGTGGGCAGCCCTGGCCTGCCTCCCTCCCTGCCTGCCGCCCCCCAACGCCCCGTTGGGGGACCAGCCAGAGCCGTGGGGCTGCTGCATGGCGGGCCCCTCTCCTCATTGGGGGCTCAGCTCCCTGCCTCCTCCCAGCATCAAGGCGGAAGGGCAAGAAGGGGCGGCGGGCCTCCCCCAGACCGAGGGGCAGGGTGCCAGGAAATGTGGGGCCATGTCCAGGCGGCCTGTCCTGGGGGAGTCTCGGCAGGCCGGGTCTGCCCCACGGGGCCAGGCCGACTCCCCACTGCAGGCCTGGCCGCCTCACTTGCACCAGGTGGAGTGAGGGCCTGCCCTGGCGGGGTCAGCCTGGCGTGGGACGGGAGGCTCCCCGATCGACCGCTGCGCGCTCGCTTCTTGCACGCCGGCGCCTTGGTGGTGACCTCCAGAGGTCCCTGGGGAGAGGCGTGGGGCAGGCCTCTGCTGCCGGAGGGGGAGGCCCGCTGCACCCTCAGCACGTGCCCTCCTGGCCCAGCCGCCCGTCCTTGACCGGCTGCTCTCAAGGACAAGCCGCCTGCCAAGCCGGAGTGACTCAGCCGCTGGTGCAGGGCAGCTCCTGCACCCCCCAGGCAGCAGGAAGGGCCAGTCACCATGGAGTGTCCCTCCGGGACGTTTGGCCCAGCAAGGGGCCTGCCGAGGCTGTCAAAAGCAGCTGGGGAGGGTGGTGAGCAGGCCCCCCCCCCCCATGCATTCAGGTGCAGCAGCTTCACTTGCCCAGGGGGCATGATGGCAGACCCTGGGGGATCACAGCTGTCCACCAGCAACATCAGTGAGTCAGGAACCTGCCTGAGCCACAGCTGGATGGGGAGTGCCCTCTTCCAGAGGCAGTCATAAAACTCCGGCATGCTGGGGCTGCCCACAGGGCAGCTGAATCCATGCTTGACAGCAGCCCTCCTCCAGGCCACAACCCAGAACACAACTACCAGGGAGTACGGCTCACTGGAGAGGACCATCATGCTAAGGAAAGTCAAAGGCATTAGGCATCAGCAGAAGGGGAAGACCAACTGTGAGCTGGACTGATCCCATAAAGGAATCGCAGGGTAGTAGGGTTGGAAAGGGCGGAGAAGACCATTGGGTCCCCCCCCCCTGCTGCTGAAGGACACCAATTTACACCGTACTACTTCAATGGCTGTCCATTTTCTTTATGAATGACTCTAGTGTGGGAGCGCCCATGACATCTCTAGGCAACTGTTGTTCTGACAGTGAGGAAGCCTTTCCTGATTTCTAGCTTGAACCTGGGTTGTTGCAACTTGAATTATTCCATGTCCTGCACACTGGCATAGCAAGAGAGCTTGACCTTCCTCTTTGTGGCGGCTATTTCTAGAGGGATCTCATGTCCCCCCTCAGCCTTCTCTTCTCAAGGCTGAACATGCCCAGTGCTCTGCGTCTTTCCTCATAGGGCAGTTTTTTCCAAACCCTGAATCCCCCCCCCCCGCTTTTTGCCCTCCTCAGGACCCTTTTCAATTTTTCTGCATCTTTCTTAAATCTTGGTGCCCAGGACTGGACACAGGATTCCAGGTGAGGTCTGGCTAGTCTAATCGGCAGCGTATGGAGCTGATGTAAACCACCCGTACAGGCAGCCAAAGCCCCTTTAAGCCAGTGGGAGAGCCAGTGGTGAGCAGTGGGTCCGAGTCCCCGCGCAGCCGTGGCGCCAGCTAGGTGGCCTGGGCCCAGCGAAGCGGGCCGCCTTTCCTGTCGCGAGAGACACTTCCCTCCACAGCCGGTCAGTGCAGTGTTTCAGTATGGACATTCAGGTAACAGAATGTGAGGATTAAAGAGTGTTAATTGCAAACGATTGTTGGCTTCATTCCACAGCCATTTAAATACAGCTGCCTTTGCAACAGAAGAACCGGGAAGTGCAGCTTTGTGTATAATTTGGTTCAGGAAATGCAGTGTGGATGATATGCCCAACCCACATCTCGGGAAGCCAAAAGTTATTTCCAGCAAGGGCAAGATCCAGATCGGATTCGACTGGGCCTGGTCTGCCAAGCTGCCTGTCCTGTCCGCACACCCGCAACACCCGGGTGTAGGTGGGCATATCATGTGCAGAGTGCATGATTGGAGTAGAAGCAGAGGAATCGGTAAAGCCAAGTCAGGTCTGCACGGAGGCTGCGATGCACACACTGCCCCCCCCCATAGATCCCCTGAGGTGCTGCTTGCCTGTGTGCCCATGTGGGGGGGTGGGGAGGGGGGAGTGGTGATGAAAGCGGAATTTTATGCAGAAAACCACAGAAAAGGCACCTGGAAGACTAAGGCGTTTATTTTGGCTGCAGCATTTGCAGACCCAGCATCCCTCTGCACCAGACGGATGCTGGCTTAACGTTTGGGGCTCCTATCCATGGTGCGCCCAGGAGATGCTCCGTGCAATGAGCATCTGTGCGCACGATGTGCAACAGGCGAGCCGGGAGCAGTGAGCTCAGGAGGAATTCAGCGCAGAAAGGCTTGGCGGGCAGCCGTGCCTGCGCCGCTTCCCTCCTGGGAATACAAACAGCCTGGCGGGAGGGGGGCTGTTGGTGGGTGCTGCACGCCCCAAGCAGCGCAGGGGGAATCGCCCGGACCCAACGCTGCGGAGAGAGTGAGTGATGCTCGTTGGAAAAGCAGTTGCACAGCAAGGCAGCAAATGAGGCTGAAGGAATTTTAATTGCTCTGATGAAAGCACTTGGCCAGTCAACCACGAAGCAGAATCAAAGCCACTCCATCCCTGTCGTTTCCCTTCGGATGGAGGGCCCCACAGTCTCTCTGATGGGCAGCCTTACTTCCCGGTCGCCCATCCGCTCCGTCGCCCTCCAAGTGCTCTGCGGAGGCAAGACGCCTGGGCCAGGCTGGGCATGGGGCAGGAGGCTTTTCCCCTGGTGGTGCCAGCCCCAGTGCAGGTGAGATGGCGCAGCCCACCCCCCAGCACCGCCTCTCCACGCCCACCAACTGGCGCCCCCGCCCCACGGCCGCTGGGCTCAGGAACCGAGAGGCGACGGCCTCTTCCGCCACCTGCCCACTCAGGAGAAGCAACTTGGACTCAGGGGGGCCCCCTCCCCGCTCCTTAACCTCAGAGGCCCACTGGTGGTTCTGTGGAAGTTCTCAGCTGAGAGGCCGCATCCTGTGAGGTCCTTCTCACTTCTGAGGCCCAGCACACCTCCCAGTCGCTCGTGAGCCCAGGCCTGCCACGGCGCTAGGAGCCACAGGGTGCCACTTTGAACCTTACCTTAGCCACAGATGGTCTGTGGGCAACCCTCCCTCCCTCTCGCCGTCACTCAGGACAGTGACTGGGCCAAGAGAGCTGCTGCGGGATGAGAACACGCCAGTGCTTTCCCCAGTCGAGTACAGGCCTGAGAGAGGGCTAGAGGGATGTGGGGGGGGGGCTGGAAGGGGCAGAGGTGGGGCTGACAGCTCAGGCCGCATCCAGATGGTGCCTGGTCCCCTTCCCTCCCCCTCTGCAACCTTTCCTCCAGACAATGAAAAACAGCTGTCCAGAGGAATGCAGGCCAAAGGTGGCAAAGAGCCTCTCGCTCGCTCTGCTTCACAGCCTGTGCCTGGAGGCTCATCTGCACAAAGGACAGGGGGGCTGGATTGGGTCCGGGGGGGGGCATCACAGGCCTTGCCGGCATCATCTGGGCCCAAGCATAAGCCAGCGCCCCACTCGGAGTTCAGGAAAGCACTCCGGGGACAAAGCGGGACCCCCGCTCCACTGCTTTGTGACTTTCGCCTGGAGGCTGTTTCCACACCAGCTCCTCCGGTTCAGTGCACTGGCGCCCAGACTAATTCTCCACCTGCCTGGAGGATCTGAGGCCACAGTCCTGCACCCAGAGGTTTCCATGCAAGTGCCTCTAGACATGGGGGTCGTGGGCAACCTGTGCATGGAAGGGGCCACCGTGGTGGCCATCTCCGTGGCGGTGCTTCCTGGTCAGCAGCCTCCGGCAGGCCAGGCTCCCCGAGCCTCTGGGACCCAGTGCAGCGGCAAGCTGCCAGGCAGCGTGCCCAGGTCCCCCACAGCGCTGGCTGCTGACGCCACGGCTGAGCCTTTCCCCGTGGAAGCCCACCACTGCCCACCTCCCTTCTGCTGATCAGAAGTGACAGACCTGCGGCGAGTCACCAGGGCTGCCAGGCGGGCCACTTGCCCCTCTGGCAGCCTTGCCGCTTGTTGCCCTAAGAGGCGATGCCAGGATGGCTTGGGGGGCTTCATGATGCAAGGCGGAGCCAGGGTGCCGTGCAAGGAACCCTTTGCATCGGCTGAGGCTGAGGAAGAGGAGGGTGGGCGAGGGATGGGGGTGGCAGCGCCTCCCAGGGGCGGCTGCTCCGGCCGGCCGGATCTGAACACTGGAGACGGATCGAAGCTGGCCGTGAACGCGGCCGCTCTGGGGCGCTTTTTTTCGGGGGGGGGAGCCCTCCCGCTCCGCTCCGCTCCGCCGGCTGGTCCAAGGCAGCAGTGCGACCAACACAGGGGGGCCGTGCGAGGGACCCCGCTCCGCCGCGCCAGCCCAGGAGGGCGAGCCCGGCGCTTCTGCGGGGCTCTGCTGCGGCTGCTCTGGCCCGGAGCCAGCCTCGCGGTGCAAAGGGCGCCCAGGCGGACCCGCTCGGGCTGCACCGGGGCCGGGCCTTCGTCGCTGGCCGGGAGGGCAACCCCCCTCTTGCGGAGCAGCTCTTGGCGAGCGCGGCGGAATCATAGCAAGGAAGCCCCGCGCCGCCTCAATCCACCGGGCCCGCGGCAAGAGGGACTCCCAGGGCGGGAAGCACGAGCCGCGCCCCCTTGGCGTGGCCAAGGCGCTGGGTCCCCGTGTCGGCCACCTGGCCGCCTTCGCTTCCCCCCCGAAGAGCCCGGGACCTGTAGCGGGTCCCCCTCGAGGCAGTCACTCGAGCGCCTGCCTTCGCTTTGGCCGCCCTCTCCCAACGGCACCGGCCAGGGCCTGGGGTCGGCGGCAGAGCTGCTCTCCGGAGGCCCACGGAGGTCTCCGCCTTCCAGCCCGGGATCCTCAGTCCAGGGCCCCCTCGGCAGGCCGGGGAGGCCCTCCGCGCAGGGGACAGGAGCGCTCGCCCTGCGCGGCCGCCCCAGGCTGGATCCGCGTTGCCTACTCACGGGGAGGGCCCCGCCGAGACGCGGCGGGCTCCGGCACAGCAGCAGCAGCAGCAGCAGCAGCAGCAGGCCGCCGCAGCAGCCCAGCCAGCCCGCGGGCGGCAGCGGCAGCAGCAGGGCCAGCGCAGCCCACGCGGCGCGCCGCATCGTCCCCGCCGCGCGGCGCTTCTGGTGCGCGCGCAGCGCGAGGGGCGGCCCGCGGAGGAGTGAGGTCACTTCCGAGGCGGGCGGGCGCGCGCGCAAGTGAGCCGAGCCGGGCCGGGCCGGGCGCACTGAGGCGAGCGGCAAGGACGCGCGGACGGCGCCGAGCGACCGAGCGACCGACCGACGAGGGCACGCCGGCGCAGCCAGCGCAGCGCGCAGGGTCTCCGCGGCGCCGCCCCACGAAGGAGCGCACGCAGGACCGGGTGAGCCGCGCGCCCAGCCGCCGCATCCCGCCGCCGAGCGCGGACCCGGCCGGCTGCAGGCGGTCTGCCCGCCAGGATGCCGGCCGGAGGCGCGAGGCGCAGCGGCCCCACTCCCCGGCCCCGAATCGGGCGGGCCCTCCGGTGGCGAGACTGGGAGGAGGCGCCGCCCCGCCCGCCTCTTCGCGCTCGGCCGCGGAGCACGGCGGCGGC